GAGGAAGGGCGCGCACCCACCTACCTATCTACCTCTGCGTCCTCCCGAATCCCCCTTTTGTTTACCTTTGAGGCCTTCTGTACCTCCTTCCTCCTTCCTTGCGAGCAGGGGTAGACCATCTGCAAGGCCTAAAGGCGAACGCTCATTTCCCCTTGCCCCTTCCCCCCCCCCATCTGGTTTTCCTGCCTCCCCTTCGTCTTTCCTCTTCCTTGCATCTGAGCGTTCGCCTTTTGGAGTTATAGGTGAGGCCCTTACCACCCTGGCAGTTCTGTTCAGGCGCCCCACCTCTCCACTCCCTTTCTATGTCATTATGTTGCCTCGTTTCTTGCATCTTGCTTCTCACGTTTTCCCTGATGCGCCCCCACCTCCCCGCTGGGCTCAGCCGCGGGGAGGTGGCAGGACAGGTCTGCACGGCTACAGGATCACCTTCGTCGGCCATGAGTCAGTCAGTCAGTCAGTCAGTCAGTCAGCCAGCCAGTCAGTCAGGAGGAGGAGGAGGAGGAGGAGGAGGAGGACCTCCTCCTCCTCCTTCTCCTCCTCCTATTCCTACTTCTGGTGGTGGCAGTGGGAAACGACCCAACACGGGTCCAGACTTCCAGGGCCCGCGCAGCGAATCGCACCTGGAGTAGCCAGTTGTTTGGGTCCGCCCGCGCGTCGGCCCCTCGCTGGCCGGGCCGCGTGTCCGGGGCGCCCGAGCCCCGCGGGGCGCTCCTTTCGGCGGTTGCCAGGAGGGGCTCGTCGGACGAGGCCGGGCGTCGCCGGAGCCAGGCCGTGGCACGTCCTTTCGGCAGGAGGTGTCTGCAAGAACGGTCAAGCGAGCATAGTCGGGGGACGGCTTTTCTATTATTGTGTCTTATGTTAGTTGTGTGAAGGCTATGTGCCACGTTTCGTCGACAATGCGGGCAATGTTTATATCCACATCCAGTGCGTCTTGGAGTTCCGGACTCTCTTCCCAAGCGACATACAGGCGCACTGGATCTGGATTCTAAGCTGCCTCCAAGAAGGCCAGATGTTTATCCATATCCAGTGCGCCTCGGCCTCGCGGCGCCTCTTCCAAGAAAGTCCAAGACGCTCTGGATATGGACATAGATATTGCCCGCAGACACGTCGCCTAAGAGGAGGGCGCGCCCGAGCGAGCGCCGGAGCCGAGGCCTCCCAAAGCCCCACCCGACGCCCCACGGCTCGGCCTGAGGCGCGTCCGCGGGGCCGTCGAGGGCACCCCTCTGGAACCAGGCCTCCTCCTCCTCCTCCTCGAACTCTTCCTCCTCCTCCTCCTCCTCCTCCTCCTCCCTTCTGGAACCAAACCTCCTCCTCCGCCTCCTCCTCCTCCTGTTCCTCCTCCTGTTCGCCAGGCCACGCAATATTAGAGCCACGAGATCGGTTCGCAAGCAAGCCAAGTTTGAGGATCACTTCACACACGCCTTCTCGCAGGTGAGGCAGCAGCCCTGGAGATGCAACTGTTGTAAGAAAGTGCCCGATCCGAAGGTACGGTTCTGCGCTTCTCCACTTGGGCCTGCCCCGCTCGCGCCGTGTTCCCTTGTGGTGATCAGGGAAGCTCGCTCTCTCCTGGTGCTTCGGGCTTTGACATGGTTCTTGAAAGGGGCCGCCTCCCGGGGTCATGGAAACGGGGGACAGCAGGTCGGAGCCTCGACCTCGTCCATCAGGGAGGTCGCCTCCCGCCTCGGCCCGCCTCCTTGGATCCAGGGACTTCCCAGGGGGACGGGCCCGTCTTTGGGGGGAGGGAGACGGCGAAACAACCTACCTCTCGGAGCTTTTCGTGGGGCCGTGCGGTCGGGATGCGTGTTTCTGATCGGACTGGCGCCTCGAATGCGGACGCCCACGCCGACTGACAGAGCTGTTCGTGACCCCGCAGATTCGAGTCGTACTGCGGATTCGGCAGCTTTGACACAGGCGGTCCAGGAGTTCGATCGGTTTTCTCCCTCGCCCGATTCCCGTCCCGTCCTTTCCCCGTCGGTGAGCTTCGTCGTTCGCCCCCGTGAAGGACCTGCTTTTGTGCCGCCTGATAGGCATGTGCGTCCTAGACTGGGCGCCGGCCAGTTAGTCAGGCCTGGCCAGGCTTCGCTTGCACAGGCCATCGTGCCTGCCTCGGTGCTGCTTGCGCGAGGGATAGTGCAGTCGCACCGCGCCAGAGGTCACTTTGTTTGGGCCCCCCCTGGCTCCGTTGTTCTCTGCGCCAAATGTGGATCGATACAATGCCACTGGATTAGCTGGCCTCTTGTTGTTGGATTGTCTTCCTCCCATACAGCTGGGTGGGCACGCTCGTCAGAATCGCGGTCTCTTCTTGGGAGGCCAGCACCCCAGTGGCGAAGGGCGATCCAACCCACGTTGATCCCAATCCCGCGCCCCCCTTCATGGCAGTCGGTCCTGAGGTAGAGTGGCTGAGGCGACTCAGGGAGCGGAGTTCGGATGCTTTGATGGACCATGTCTATGCCCCTGGTCTGAGACTTGGTCCTATCAGGGCTCCTCGGCTTCTTCTGGG